ATGATGGATGGATGATAGCGATAATGATGGTGATGATAGCGATATGATGAGGGTGATGATGGCGATAATGATGATGGTGATGATAGCGATAATGATGAGATGATGATGATGGTGATGATAGCGATAATGATGATGGTGATAATGATGATGGTGATGATAGCGATAATGATGATGATAATATGATGTGATGATAGCGATAATGAGGATGGTGATGATGCGATATGATGAGGGTGATGATGGCGATAATGATGATGGTGATGATAGGCGATAATGTGAGGGTGATAATGATGATGGTGATGATAGCGATAATGATTGATGGTGATAATATGATGGTGATGATAGCGATAATGATGGTGATGATGATAATGATGATGATGATAGCGATATGATGATGGTGATGTTAGCGATAATGATGGGATGATAGCGATAATGAATAGCGATGAAATGATGATAGCGATGATGATGATAATGATGATGTGATGATAGCGATAATGATGATGGTGATGATAGCGATAATGATGAATGGTGATGATAGCGATAATGATGATGGTGATGATAGCAATAATGATTAGAGTGATGATGGTGATAATGATGATGGTGATGATAGCGATAATGATGATGGATGAATGATAGCGATAATGATGGTGGTGATGATAGCGACAATGATGATGGTGATGATAGCGATAATATTGATGGTGATGATAGCGATAATGATGATGGTGGTAGTGATGGTGACGATGGTGATAATGATGGTGATAGTAATGATGATAGTGATGATAGGGGTAGTGATGATAATGGTGATAGTAAGGATGATGAGAATAATGATAATGATGGTGATGATTAGAATTATGGTGATGAGGGTCATAATATTCGTGGTAATTTTTTATTCGTATTATGGTTTGTCAAAGTTATATCGCAATAAATGAAACTTAATTAATCAATTGATTAATTAATATAAATATGTAGATGAAACTGAAAAGGATTAAAGTATTGTAAATAACAAAATTAAAATATAATAACATACGTTAAAAAAGAAACATACTGAAATCATAATGCATAATGATACTAATAATAACACACAATAAACGATAATGCATAACAACAACAATAACAATAACAACACGTGACATTAACCGACTCTACGCAACAACAGCAGCGGTTATTATCAACAACAAGGCAGACGAAATACAACTTGAATTTAATTACTCACCAATAAATAAATAATAATTTAATAATTTAATAAATAATTTAATAACTTAATTTAATAACTTACATTAGGATACTTTACTCTGACCGCTGGATGGACTCTGCGGGACTTTGCCTGTGATGCTGCTTGGACCGCTGGGTTGCCACGTGCCTGCTCCGGCTCGCTCGCAGCTGCCAGCTTCTTTCGGTCCCCTCGCGGCTGGGGGGGGAGGGGGAGGGGGTCAGTGAAGCAGTGGATGTGTCTGGGTGGGTGTATGTATGTATTATATGTATACTATATATATTATATATATTTTATATATATATATATATATTTATTTATATATTATATTTATATATATATATATATGTGTATGTGTGTGTGTGTGTGTGTGTGTGTGTGTGTGTGTGTGTGTGTGTGTGTGTGTGTGTGTGTGTGTGTGTGTGTGTGTGTGTCCGTGTCCGTGTCGTGTGCGTGTGCGTGTGCGTGTGCGTGTGCGTGTGCGTGTGCGTGTGTGTGCGTGCCTGTGCATATATTTACACACGCATACACGCGTATGTGTATATGTATATATGTATAATTTCAGCAAGTGGTTTTCCTTTCAGGAATCGTTCCTTCGGGAAAAGCAACACCAGAGCAGCTACGAACATCATTTTATTTTCTTCAAAGATTTTGCAGTTCCTAACTTCATCACCTGCGCTAATTAGGTAAAAGAGAACCAAAAAAAAACATCAGCAAAAATAGAAAGAATGAATAGAGTAAAAATTGATTCCTAATAATGTAAAAGAATATACAAGCAATTTAAAAGGTGGCCAATTAAAAGAATTACAGTAACCGAGCGAAACAAGGTAATGGTAAAACAATCCAATCAACAACCTATCAACACCTACAATAAAAATAGCAGTAGATTAAAATAGACTATAAAATAAAAGAAATTTGAAAGTAAAAGCACAATCAAATCCTAAATCCATTAAAGCAAAAACTTAAACTGCAATTATTCTGTAACTGAATGGTAGTTGTTGATAAGGTCTCGTTTCATCCTTGACATAAACGGTAATTCTAAGGTGATGAGGTTGTCATAAAATGGGCAACCGGGTTATATACATACGTATATATGTATATATATATATGTATATGTATATGCATATATATACATATATACACGTACATATATATACATATACATATATTTACATATATATACATATATTTAAACATCTATACATATACTCTATATAATATATATCCATATATACATATATAAATGAAAACAACCACAGTGAGAATTGAAAATAAATGCAATGTTTCGAACTCTTCATGCGATCCTCTTCAGACAAATAATAAACCATTTCGGTTTATTATTTGTCTGAAGAGGATCTCGTGAAGTTTTCGAAACGTTATATTTATTTTCAGTTCTCACTGTGGCTGTTTCCGTTTTCATTTTTGTGTACACGTTACCGTGTTTGTGCTTGTGTTCATATATACATACAGAAATATATACATATGTATACATGTATACATATATATACATACATATATATAGACATATATATATATATATATATAATATATATATATATATATATATATATATATATGCCTGCATATATACATACATGCATATAATATGCACATACATATGTATAAATATTCATACGTAAATACATATATATACATACATATATACACATACATACATACAAATTATACATACATATATATACATACATATATATACATACATATATATATACATAAATATATACATACATATAATATATATATATATATATATATATATATATATGTATACATACATACTATATATATATATATATATATATATATATACATAATATATATACATAAATATATATATACATATATATTACATATATATTTATATATACGTATATATGTCTGTGTCTGTCTCTGTGCTTTTGCGTGTGCCTGTGCCTGAGTATAAGTATATACAAATATAAACATACATATATATGTGCTTGTGCGTATGTTGTGCGTGTGAGTGTGCATGTAGGCATGAGTATAAGTACATATAAGTATATAATGAGTATAAGTATGTATAAGGCCGCGCGTGCTTGCGTTTGTGTTCCGTGTGCGTTTATAGTGTAAAAAATAATTACATAGTTATTTGACCAAGTTCGTCGTGCAATTATTCCACATACGAATAAAATGATTTTCAGGCTAAGTTCAAGTTGTTAATGTTAAATATGGATGTTTTAGTTCAGTTATTAGAGTTAACTTATTGGCCTTTGTTTTTAAACTGTGAGACTGAGGAGGTCAGTCAGCGCACCTTGATTTTTCGTTCTATCAACTTACTTTCTTTACTTTCAAGTATTTTCGGATGCTGTTTTGAGTCGCCATCTCCGTTCCTTCTGCTGGCAAAAGAGAAATTGAAATTAATTTTTAAAATGAGTGGATAAGATAAGATACAATACCCGTTTATGTATCCACAAAGGAATCACTTGGAACCATAAAACAAAGTGTTTCCGTTTTTTTTTTTTTTTCATAACGAACCGTTCCAGGAATGGGTATCACTTATTGAATTATTTACACCCCCCACTTATATAGAAAGGTTGAAGACAGATTAAAAGCAATCGTTCTTTACAAATACAGACAAATGCGTACAAGTGATAGGACTCTTAACATACCCAAATTAACCTGGGATTAGGTTAATACACTTAATGATCATTTAAATAAGATGATAATGGTAGTATTTCAATTGCCAATTTGCGGTTAGATAATATCCTGCTCTTGATTTTCGTACTGGATGAATGGACGAACTTAGAAAAATTAGAGACATCAACCCTATCCCTGTATATAAGTTCAACGTATCATTACCAGATCAGTAACATTCAATAAGATAATTTTCTTCGTCAAAGTTTTTGATATTTTTAATGTGTGATTTCTTTGTTTTACTTTTAACATCATTATTAAAATTATTATTATTGCGAAAAAAAACACTTTGTCCTCAGTCCTTTGAGATAAATTCATCCTCAGATCACTCGCTACTATTTCGTTATGTATTTACTTTTAAATCCTCAAGACCGTCATATAATTGCACAAACACTGCCTAAACTCCTCATTTATTAACGAAGGTAATTTTATTCTTTTCTTTTCTTTTACTTTACTCCTAAGTCTTCTTCTTCTTCATCTTCTTTTCCTCCCTCTTCCTTTTCTTATCCATTTATTAACAAAGATAATTTTATTATTTTCTTTTCTTTTACCTTTTCTCCCCCTCCTCCGCCTTTTAATTATTATTATTATTATTATTATTATTATTTATTATATATTATTATTATTATTATTATTATTATTTATTATCCTTTTTCACCTTCTCTCGATACCTGATACAGCTCCTCTCTTTCTCCTTTCCATTCACATTCTTCTCTGTCATTTTCCATCTCTTGCTCCTTTATAAACACAATTTTCATAATTGACATGAATATCGTATTCAATTAATAAACGATAAAAGAGACAGAGACAGAGACTAATTGACAGAAAGAGAGAGAGAGAGAGGATAGTGGGGAGGGAGGGGAGAAGAGATGATGTGCTAAGGGGGAGAAGGGAGAGAAAGAGTAGAGAGATAAGGGGGGTAGGTATGGGATGTAGTAGGGGGGGATGAAGGTTAGTGTATGGAGAGTGGAGGGAGGGTATGTTATGAACGTTAGAGTTAGATTCTGAGGGAGATATGTAGATGTTTAGAGTATGGAGGAGTAGGTGTTTATGAGTTAGTAAGTATGGAGAGATATTGGGGATGTAGGAGGGATGGGAGTTATTGAGAGATGAGAGATTATAGGGGGAGAGTAGATGGGTAGTGTATGAATTGATGTTGTATGTTTATGTTATTATTGGTTGGGGTGTGTTTTATTAGTGTGAGTTATTTGTTATGTTTGTTGATTTCTCATGTAGTATTCGTAGTGGTGTGTGTAGATGTTATTTGTATTGTTTATTGAGTTATGTTGTATTTATTTTATTGTGTTTTTTTTTTTTTTTGGGTGTGTTGTTGTATTGTTTGTTGTTATGTTATTTGTGTGGTTTATGGTTTGGTTATTTTACTCTGGTATCTCTCATTTATTGTTATCTTTATTATCCTAGTATTTTCTATTTTAGTTTCATGAGATGCATATAGGGGACAAGACGAGAGAGAGGGAAAACACCACCTCAGGTAGAATCCTTACAACACTGTCTAATACAGCGCCCATGTGGACTGTTACCTATCCTAGTCCCGGTTTACCAAACACAAACCTTAATCAGATAGATGAGTGTCAAGGGTGCACCTTGCGACGCCATGCTGGTTACAAACTCCCCGGTATACTTTAAAGAAATTTATCTTATTAAGCCGCTTGAACGTATGAGAAGGAAGAAGATGCGAAGTAAGTTTGTGAAATCCGCACAATTATCACAAGGAGTTTAGAGATATACGCGGTAACATACTGGGGAAGATATAATTTCTATTTTATCTCTACTAATTCAGGTTTGCCAGAATCCTTGCATACTGTTGCTTTTATTTCCATTACTATCATATTAATCCATTACTATATTATTGTGATTATTTATTAATTTTGACTATTATCTCTATCATCCATCATTCTCATTTTGTTTGTATCGTATCGCCATTTTTATTGTTTATATTATCTTTATTGGTTATTTGTTTTTATATTGTATTTTTTTGGTTTTTTTTTTTTTTGTTGTTTGTTTTTTCTTTTTTTTTTTTATTTTTTTTTTTTTTTTTTTTTTTTTTTTTGTTTTGTGTTGTGTGTTTTTGGGGGTGTGTTTTTGTGTGTTTTTGCTGTCTGTATATCTGTGGTGTATGTTATTTTGTTGTGTGGGGGGCGGGGTGAAGGAGATCTTTCTACCTCCTCCTCCTCCTCCTCTTTCCTCCTCATCCATTCTGTCTAATCCTGACAGTGAGATCTTGACATCTTGGAATCTGTCACCGACCTCGCAGTGAGACTCGATGGCGAAACAGGCGGCGCGTTCGCTGCCCCGATGCGGTGGTCGAAGCTGGCCCAGATGCTCTGTAATGCAACACATTAAGAATGGAACGCCCAGGTACGTTCTGTCGGGACATGCGCGAAACTACACGTACTGGTTTCCTATCCCTTTGTTTCCTGTAATGGGAAGTACGGGAGAGCGGGCGGACGTGCTGATGCGGGAGGATTACCACTATAATATCTTAGGTACTATCGATTAAATGCAATTAGAATTAGTACTACCTCTCTTACTGTGTTAAAAATATGTGTCTAGTTTGTCTCTTGATTGCGCGGTAGAGTTTCACGGAGAAAACAGGGAGAATGAGTTACGAACTGGTCGAATGCTGCGGGTGGGGGGGGGGGGAGTATTGCGCGAATCTATAACAAAAACTTATCTTTGGATCCTTAACTCCAGAATATATATATATATTTTTTTTTACACTTTCTATAAATTAGTTTTGTCACTCACACTGTCACTGTGGTATGATACGATAATCTTTATCATAATAGATAAACAAAAACAAAAAATTATCCTCGGATCCCTAACTCCAGAATAAAAAAAAAAAAAAAAAAATATATATATATATCTATATATATATATATATATATATATATATATATTAATATATATATATGTATATATTTTTTTTTCTCCAAAAATAATTTTTTTTTTATCATAATAGATAAAAAAAACAAAAAATTATCTTCGGCTCCCTAACTCCCAGAAAAAAAAAAAAAAAAAAAAAAAAAATATATATATATATAATATTATAATATATATATATATATAATATATTTTTTTTTTTTTTTTTTTTTTTTTTTTTTTTTTTTTTTTTTTTTTTTTTTTTTTAACACATACTCTAAAATTCACAAGCTTTACACATCCTGTCACTGTGGTATGACAATAAAATGCGGCAGTAAGGTGTTGAGATGACAGAGAGTGCCAAGCGTCAAATCACAGTTGAAAAACGTTTTGAAGTATTATGTCATCGCTAAAAATAACATCGCTTATCTTTCTTTGACCGAAGAGCAGTACTGCGCCATGAAAACACGGGGTAGCTCTCTTATTTCTCTCTCTCTCTCTTCTCTCTCTTATTCTCCTCTCTGTCTCTCTCTTATTCTCTCTCTCCCTCTTTCTCTCTACTCTCTCTCGTCTCTCCTCTCTCTCTCTCTCTTCCTCTCTCGTTCTCATCTTCTCTCATCTTCTTTCTCATCTCTCGTCCTCTCTCATTCTTCTCTCTTCTTCATCCTCCTCTCTGCTCTCTATATCCTACTATCTCTCTCTTTCTCTCTTTCTCTTCCTCCTCCTCTCTTCTCTCCTCCGTCTCTTTCTCTTTCTCTCTTCTCTCCCTACTTCTGCTGCTTTATTTCTCTCTCTCTCTCTCCTCTCTCCCTCCTCCTGGCCCGGCGGTCAACTGCCCGCGCTGATCGCTGAGACCATCCACGTAACCCTACCCGACTCCCCAGCCAGCAGACCCCCGCCTCCCCCAAGTCAACTAATATCCTTCTCGCCGTGAGACCCAAAGCCAAGACGCCCAAGAAGAGAAAGGTTGAAGCTTCTACACAATTAACACTCAAACGGAGCTATATAATAATATAATAATAATGATATGATGATAATAATAATAATAATAATAATAATAAAAGGAATAACCAGCGAATGGATCAAATCGACTCCAACCGCCACTGGGAGTTAATCACCTAAGGCAGCAGGTGCAAGAGGCTGCCGACCTACCACTGCCCCCCCCCTCCTACAGCAGTGCCACCAGTCATTGACAATTATGCAGAACGAGCTAATACCCACACAGGATGTAGATTAAAAAAAAAAAAAAGCGGTACACCAATGCAAGCCGTTAAAGGGAGCAGATCGTCCTGGTACAGTCTACCTTTACGTCACCAGCTGCCACCCAAACACAAACGAAGGACATAGAACAACACTTACCTGAAAACGTTCAAAAACATTTCAAGTGTCAAAGCCCACAAGACAGTGACATATGAACTTATCACGATGACGTTGAATATAAAGAAACAAAGCGACCAAAGTATTTAAGAACTTTTCGGCGATTTCAAGAACTATGACCCTCAGTTTTTTCTTATCTTGTCTAAATGACTCTATTAAATGTTTCAACGACAGATACTGTAAACAATTAAATAACTATCCTCAGGGAAGTTTTTAAAGGCAGCATTGATGCGCTGGCTTCCTCTCTCTTCTCGTCTTCTCTCTTTCTCTCTCTCTTAAATTCTCTCTCTCTCTCTAATTTTCTCTCTCTCTGATCCTTTATTCTCTCTCTCATTCTCTCGACCTCTCNGTCAATACAGTTGATTATAAATTTAACAATGATATAACGAGGAATATTTTATCATTAAGCCCATCATGTTCATCATCATTAAAAAGATATGAGGTAATAATAAAAATGGAAAATATAAGAATAAGTATTAT